AAATTCAATATAATGATAATGTGCAGGAGGTTATGTAGGACAAGGTCAAGGCCAAGGCCAAGGCCATGCTGGTAGACAAGGTAGTACATGGGACATGAGGGGTAACCGGGGTAACTATAGTCAGTTTAATGATGATACAGGAGGTGGAAGTCGAGAATGGTCACGTAATGCATCGTCTAGATCATACGGCACCAGACCACCTCCTCGTGGAACTGGACTTGAACGAAAACCATTTCATGATGAACCATTTCATAAAGATCCACCTCCAGGTTTGTTTATATACAAATATTTTGCTAAGATCTTGTCTTTAAAACGATAAAAATGATTCTAATATTTTCATTGTAGCTGACACAAGTGGAAGAAAGCGTCTGATACTAGCACCAAGAACAATTCAAGATCCAATAAACGCAATTGCAGAATCAAGTAAATCAAGTTCGATTTATGGTGGCGCAAAACCTCGGGAGGAAAAAATTAATACTGACGACAAGTAAACATATTATCATTATTAGTTTCTGATTCCCTAACTTTAGGGAAGGAACTTTTCCAACAAAAATGTTTGGAAACAAATACAAGATCCATCCCCTAGTTTCCTCGAATGTAGTGGGGAGAATCTCTTCGGAGATGAAATTGTAATAATTTTTATTTACCCCTAAGGGGAGTCTTCCCCCACAATAACAATGAAAAGTGATTTAATGAGATTCTTAAGTTCGACGCATTTGGCATTTTTAATTAAGAATAAAAGTTTTTCATCTAGTGCCCTCTCTATTTAAACTAATGTCTTAGTTTGAAAAACTGTAACAATAAATTGGGAATTTAAAGTAAAAACAATTGTGTGCACCATGCATGCTTGAGTAATATTGGTTATGTGTAATTATGTATGTATATACATATGACCAATCGCATCTCGTATGTATATATGTGTGTGTGTATGTATGTATGTATGTACACACGTGCTTGCACACAGCACTTGAATTCTATGTGTGTATATATATATACACACACACACA